TGTCCCCAATGCTGACTCTGGCGCTGTGGTTGTTTGCACTGTGCTGAGAATGGAACTGTGTGCGTATCAAAGAGAGTCTACAACAACAACAACAAGATTCCATTTATAAAGCGCCTTTCACGTCAGGAGGACGTCCCAAGGCGCTGCACATTTGGGTCATGACCCGAGCATTGGGGAAATGGTCAGGGTGAGGGGAGGGAGGAGAGGAGGGGGGGAATGGTCAGGGGGAGGGGAGGGAAGGGAGGGAGCGAGGAGTAGGAAGAGAGTCGAGAGGGGAGCTGAAGGCACGGTCAAAGAGAAAGGTCTTGAGACCGGCCTTGAAGGAGGAAAGGGAGGAAGCGGCGAAGGCACTGGGGATAGAGTTCCAGAGCCTCGGGGCTGAGAGGCTGAAGGCCCGACCACCGATGGTAGGGCGGTTGGGGCGGGGGATGTGGAGCAGACCGGAGCCGGAGGAACGGAGGGTACGGGCAGGTAGGGAGGGGGAGAGTAGGTCGGAGAGGTAGGAGGGAGCGAGGCCGTGAATGGCCTTGTAGGTGAGGATGAGGATCTTGAAATCGATCCTCTGGGGGATGGGGAGCAGTGGAGGCGAGCGAGGGTGAGGGTGGGAGTGAGGGCGAGGGCGAGGGTGGGAGTGATGTGGTCGCGGTGTCTGGTGCGGGACAGTACACGAGCTGCAGAGTTCTGAATGACCTGCAGTGTGGAGGGAGGTGGCGGGAAGGCCGGCGATTGTGCCCCTAGTGCTGTGTGTGTGTGTGTTCGTATGTACAGGGATGCTTTACAGTGCTGAGTTGTGAGAATGGCGCTGTGTGGGTGAATGATCGCCTGTAATGTGACGCCAGTGCTGAGGGTCCCGCGATGTGTGTGTGCGAAAGCATTTGTCGTGTCTCACCGGCGCCGAGAATGACGCTGCGGGTAAGCGAGAGCCTAAAGTGTGCCCCCAAACCTGAAGGTGGCGTTGTATTTGCGAGAAAGGCTGTAACGTTCCTCCAATGCTGAGGGCGGTGCTACGTGTGAGTAGGTGTGCGAATGCGTGTGTCAGAGAGGCTATATAGGAGTCCTGTAGCTCAGTGGTTAGAGCACTCGCTTTGCAAGTGAGAGACCTGAGTTCAATTCCAGGCAGAGGGCGAAACCTTGGGCAAGTTTCCTTACTCCACACAGAGCGTAATAATAATCCCTCCAAAACCAAAAACAATAATAAATTGGTCATTTTCAATCCACGACTGTTTGTGGGACATTGCTGTGCGCCATTGGCTGCCGCGTTCGCCCACAAATATACAGTCAATTCACTTTACAGTGTGTTCTGTGAAGCGCTTTGGGACGTCCTCTCCCGTCGTGAAAAGCGCTATATCAAATGCAAGGATTATTATTATTATTATAATGCGCCCCATTGCTAAGCGTAGCGCTGTGAGGGAGAGAGAGAGAGGCTGTAGTGCGCCGCCAGTGCTGACGGCGACGCTGTGTTGGTGCGTATGTGCGAGAGAAGCTCTAATGTGCACCCGGTACTGAGAGTGTCGCTGTGGGTGTGTAACAGAGTCTGCAACGCGCCTCCAGTGCTGAGAGTGGTACATTGTGTGTGTCTCTGTGTGTGTGTGTGTGTGTGTGAGTGTAAATGGCTATAATGTGCCCTCGTGCTGAGGATGGCACATTATGTATGTATGTATGTATGTATGTATGTATGTATGTATGTATGTATGTATGTATGTATGTATGTATGTATGTTGCAATGTGATTGTGAGATGAGTACTCCCCCCACTTGTGCACAACTCTCCGTGTTTTCCCATTCCCCTGTGGTTCTACCCCATTGTGTGCTCACGCTCTCTGCTCACCGTCTGTGATCTATCCTCATGTGCTTTACCCCATTTTGCTTACTCCCCCTGTACTAACCGTCGAAGTTCACAACAACCCTTTGCTCAATCCCAATGTGCTCACCACCCGTATTCACGCCCTGGTGCTCCCCCCCTAGGCTCACCGACTGTGCTCATCCGCGGTGCTCGCACCCCTGTGCTGCACACCATTGCTCTCAAAACCTGTGCTCACATCCTGTGCTCATCCTCAGTGCTCGATCCCTGCGACGCACACCATTGCTCTCGAAACTCGGGCTGACATCCTGTGCTCGTCCTCCGTGCGCAATCCCTGTGTTCAGCCGCCACTGCTCATCGCCACTGTGCTCACCTACACTGGTGCTCAACTCCACAGCCCTGGGCTCACCTCGCTCACTTTCCTGAGCTTCTTCGCTGTACAAACCCTTACTCTTCTCACCCCTCTGGGATCAGCTTCTTCACTCCGATCCCAGTTCACCACTCGTGTGCTCACCCGCCAGTGCGCTCTCCTCTGGGCTATCAGCCACTGTGCTTATTTGATTTCCTTTCTTCCCAAATACCAGCATCCAGTCTCTGCTTCTTACAGAGCCCAACAGCATTGATACTTGTGACAGTTTGGGTAATAATAATCCCTCCAAAATAAAACAATAATAAATTGGTCATTTTCAATCTACGACTGTTTGTGGGACATCGCTGTGCGCCATTGGCTGCTGCGTTCGCCCACAAATATACAGTCGATTCACTTTACAGCCTATTCTGTGAAGCGCTCTGGGACGTCCTCCCGACGTGAAAAGCGCTATATCAAATGCAAGGATTATTATTATTATTATTATTATTATTATTATTATTATCCACTATGCAATCTGCCTGTTCTCACTTCCATGTTTGCTGCATCCCACTCTCTACTCAGAAACCTGTACTTAGCCCCTGTGCTCAATGTACCGCGGGCTGTGCTCACCTCCCTGGGCTGATCCCCACTTTGCTGAGCACCCTCACTTCGCTCTCCCCCGTCCCTTCTGTTCATATCACAGTGCTTGCCATCCCCTGTTCTAAGCTCCTCCTTATGTTTAACCCCCGCACTGTGCTTAGCTCCCTGTGGTCACCCAGCTCCACATGTGCTCAGCCCCTTGTATTATTTCCCCTTTGCGTAGACCCCTGTGTTCATCCGCCAAACCTCACCAAACCCCTCTTCTCACCCACCCACGCTTTACTCAGCCCCACCTCTTCAGCCCCTATTCTCAACCCCAGTCCTCAACAACCTGTTCTCACCACCCGCTATGTTCACCAATTTTCCTGCTCAACCCCTCGACTGTGCT